AATGCTGTTCGTGTTGAAAAACACGTTATGTTGAGGTGATGGCTTCGGAGATCGGAAATTTTATTTCGCTTCTCAGGAGCCTGTTGCACTCGTCCGCTGGCTTCGACCGGTCGACTCAGAATGCCGATAGCCGGATTCGAGCTGGTATTTATATGCGTCGGCCGAGTGAAGCGTCCAATGAGGATGTGTGTTGGGTGCATGGGAGGAGCTTCAATCTAGAGTTTTTTCCTATTACCTAATTTTGTAACAATACAAATAAACTAATGGGGTTATGTACAATAAAAACAAATATTAATTGAACTAATTAAGATTAGCCGTTTCATTGTTGGTAACAAGCGGCAAAACAATAAAATAGTGCAAAGATTTGTTGCTCTGATTTTAACTGAATATTAATTGTTTTTCAACACTTTTAATTGGGATTCGTAAATTAAAATCCTACTTCTCGTTCATTTATAAAAGTTGATAATGAATAGAACTGTGAAAGGGTAAATTGTTGATATAATTTGTGACACTTTATTGAATTTTTTGGTTGTTTTCATTTTGGTTCTTACAGTCTCGAACCTAAACATTAGTACGTATTTCTGTGAAAAATAATAAAGCTTCAAAGCGATCTTTCATAGAATTATATGTAGGGCCATTTTTGAGACACAAAGTTAAAGCCAATTTGAACACGTGCAAAATTCATTACAATGGCCGTTGGTGAGCTAAATTTGCGAAAGAAACGCAATTATCAATTGTCAGAAAAATTACTTTAGGCCGGCGGCAATTTTAAAAACTCACTACTTTAATAATTTTGAAAGTACTCAACCACTTTGAAATAATCCTGTCAAGACAGCTGGTGTGAAGGTGTCGAGGTCAGGCAACGCCTGTAAAAATAAAATGGGGGTGTGAGTAATCCAGTCCATCGGAGTGAGACGTCCACAATCATAATCCGTGAATAATTAAATATAACAGTGATTACCCAAAATAATTATTCACATCTGTCAACAATAAAATATGTACTTCGAATAGGATCAGTTGAGCTCTGTCCGGGTATGGAAGGTTAGATAAATCGCAGTCCTGGTTTGAGTAAGACTCCAGAAGCCTGCACGTCCAACCAGCCTGCTTGCCTCTGGACGTGCAGACATCGAGAGACCACATCGCAGTCCTGACGTACAATGGTCAACGCTAACTTGTCAGTAACCACTTGCCCAGGGAGTGCAATGAGTACCTTGGTAATATCCGTCCGGACTTCCGGACCCGCATCCAATGGGTCCTTCAACCTCGGCAGTGCTATGGATATTATGATAGCGATACTACGATTCAACCGCCTCCAAATATTTTAAAGTTTCTTAAAAAGAATTCTTGTATGTGGTCTTACAATAGTTCACAAATTCAAGATTTTTCTTCAACTGTCTGTGGCAAATACTGTACTTTATTTCATTTAAACTACGCATTGGGCAATTCAATTGATGATTTTCTGAAGTTATTTAACGGAGATTTTCACAATAATGACAAACTATGCAGCAATATGTTTGACAAATATTTCATAAATAAATAAAGACTTTGCA